GTCAACAATGTCAAACAAACCTTGAGAGACCAAGAATGTTTCGAACTGAGTGCGCCAAGTGAGGTAGTCTTCTATCGCTTTCAGTTTGATGGTGACAATATGTGAAACGATGGTAATATGGGACACAGATTGAGCGAGAGAAGCCACTAGAGAACCAAACCCAGTCTGGTCTGGAGGTCGAAGTACTCCTGGAGAGCCGGAAAAGGTTGAGCCGGAGAAGGGTGAAGCAACCGGTGGTGGAGGAAGCGTTGCAGGGGACTGCACCGGTGTTGGCTGCCATGGGAATCTCAGAGGCAGTGACTGAAAGAGGGGGTATGGTTCGGCCACTAAAAACTGAGGCGGCGCGAGAAAGCTTGAAAACGGAGTGGAAGAGCTCGGCCACTGAACTAGTGGCGATGCCATGTAGCTTGGTAGCGGAGCAGCGGAATTTGAGGAGATTAATCCGGCCGACATCATAATGCTTGTGGCGGGAAGGGTAGTTTCTGGCGCCATGGAGAAGGAGGCTGCGGCAGTTGAAGCAGCTGCTAAGAGCATCTTTAATGGGAATGTGGATTGCATCCCATAAAAAATGGACACATCAACTGTGTAGAGAGGCCGTGAAGCTGAGATGGACTCACAGGCGGGTAAATTAAAATTTTCTCTCCAACGGTGCTTAAGAAATTATGTTTATGGCTACAAGCCTACAACCGCCCTAGCTAAAATCATACTCAGTAACTCTTTATTTCCTTCTACCATCCCTCTGCAAAAGCATTATCTAAAAGGAGATCAATTCGTATCATTTATACCATGCACTTGAGCATCAACAACTTTACAGTAATTCTCTCAAATAAAAAAAAAACTTTGTAGTAATTCATAATTAAATAAAATAGAAAGAGATGCGTCAAAAAAAAATAGAAAGAGATTAAAAATATAATGACTACCACTTCGAAGATGCCAGGAGGCTTGGAGGTTCTACCAGCTTCGAAAGAATGAAAGATACGACTGAAATATGTTATGGGTGGCCAGGGTGGGTTTTCTTGTTCCAAATAATTTGAGTTTTTTTGGAGAATTTTTTCACGAACTGCGGCCAAATAAAATATTTTGCCGCTGAGTTGGCTGTCTAACATGGTTGCTGAAAGTAGAAAGCGGAAAGCACGGTGTGGACGGTTTTCTATTCCAACTCACCACCACCAAAAATATAGACAGTTCCATTGGAGGGCATATTTTAATCCCACCATCTATTTTGTTGACATGGCAATGCATTTTTTATCAATCCATTTTCTTATTGGAGATGCTCTAAGGAAGACGGGATCGCCGACGTTGAGGAGGTCTGCGCAGAAGAAGAGAGCGGCGCATAGGAAGAAGACATCTCATGCGAGAGAAAAAAAATTAGAGAGAGGAAAGTTTTAGGTTAGGCTCTTCATATCATACAATGTGAAATAATGGAAAAAGGTTACTCCCTTAGGAGCCCTGACAGGTATATTTATAATAAAATATCAGTTTCAATTCCTAAATACACAAAGATTCCTAAAATATATCAAGTATTAGCTAGTGTCTCCTTTTCACTAAGATTTTGTCATTTTTCCTTTTCAAAAACTCTCTCTAAAATGGTCTCATACAAAATTTCATAAAGTTTTTGTGACTTTAAATGATTCTTACTTTATCTTGTTTTATCAATTCAATATCATGCGCATAAATTCATTTTTCTTAATAACCGTGTCACCTCCTCAATCTTTGTTCAAATGTTAGTGGGAGGGAGATAGTAATATATTATAATATACTCTGTATAATGTATAATAACGTAGTATGTAAAAAAAGATTGATTGGCACAGATTAATTTTTAATCACTACAGTCTATACGTGACAACTTTCTTAACATGCAAGAGCTCCTTTAAGTAGCTAGCCAGTCAGCCAGAGCAATTAAGACATATCCAAGGGCTGGCACTTAGCATGGAAGAACTTCATTAAATCGAGCTTCTTTTTAATATTTCTTCTTATTTTTTAACCACTTTCATGGTGATGTAATTATTTTTTATTATCAAAATAGGAATAATTATTGTCATGTTTTGATAGTACCAGATTTTAAATTTTACAGTATTTTCTAAGTTTGACAGTAATTACAAATATTCAAGGAATAAAAACATGACGGTTCTATTTTGATTCTTCAAAGTTTTTAATTCAAGCTATTTGGGGAATTTTGCGTAATATAATAATACGGAGTGAAAGATCCAATTTTTTTGTGGTGTCCAATTTGTTTTATTACATTCCATATATTAGGTATAAATTACTCAGCATGTGTATTTTGGGAAAGTTCCCGAAATAGGACTAAAACAGTTTGAAAATTCCAAAATAGGACTGCCATGTTTTTTATTCCCAAAATAGGAGTAATTACTGCCAAGTTTAGAAAATACTGCCATGTTTGAAGTCTGGTACTGCCAAAACATGGCAGTAATTAGTCCTATTTTGGGAATAAAAACATGTCAGTCCTATTTTGGAATTATGAAACCTTTTTAGTCCTATTTCGGGTAATATCCCGTGTATTTTCATTCAATTTGGTAGAGCTAGTGAAAAAATATGTACAATGACGCCATCCCTCAATATTTCAAGTAGCTTTATTTACGAGTATATAATGATCTCCCGTGCATCATATAATACCATAAGTACTAGGAGTGGATAAACGGGTTTGGAACCGCAGTCTGGTCCGGGTAATGGCGGTTCGGATTCAAAACGGGTCGGTTCCAATTTTTGTTGCCATGAAACGGTCCGGGTAGGGCCGGGTAATTTTTCTTAGAGATCCAGGTCGGTTCCAAAATAAAAAAAAATGGGTACCCGACCCGTTATATATACTGTATTTTAATTTATTAATAATTTTGTTTTAAAATTACTGATTAAATTTTACATAAATTTCTTATTACTTTTTATTGTTATTGAATTATTTCTTTATATGGAATTTAATTATTTGTTAAAAATGATTTTGTAATATTTATTTTATAATATTGTTCTTAATATATTGCTATATATGGTCAACTTTTCTCGTTTACCAATGCACAAGCTTGACCATTAATATATTTCATTCCTTATTAGTAAAAAAATTAAAAATAATTAGATTTTGAAAATTTAAATTGAAAGGAATTTAACAATATTTTTTTTAAATTTTATTTGTAATACATAAATAAATAAAATACAGTCAAAGTGGAACATGTGAACAGTGCACAAAGTCCAATGTTGCATTTAAAAGAGAACGTAGTTAGTATAAATTGTGCTTACCTCCCCCCATGTATGTGTCAATTTTGGCTAACACTGAAATTTTAATTTAAAAAAACAATCACCTTGATATGTGATGTTGGACAACATGTTTAAATTCAAATGTTAGAAAATATGTACTTTGACAATGTGCTGCTTTTTGGGACTTCTTTAATTGTTTGGAACTTATATACATGAAATTATGCAGTATTAGACTTGTCACTTGTGTTACATGTGCACCACTATGTTGTTATTTTGAAACTTGCTAATGGTCTATATTATTGATTATTGATTTTTGGAACTTCGTGAGTTTTTACCAATTTTAAGACATGTGAATAAAAACCGTAAAACCCGGACCGGACTGACCCATTTCAAACGGGCCGGGTAAAGTTCAGTTCCTATTTTGAAAATTGCAATACCCGGACTGGACCATACAATATAATGGAACCAGCGGTTCCATTTTATTTTGCATTACCCGCCCTGACCCGACCAGTGCCCAGCCCTAATAAGTACAGTATAAACAATAATACTCTGATCTCTCCGCCCTAGCTAGCTATCATCCAATATACGCACTCTTGCCATATACGAAGTATTACGCATGTTTTTTTTGAACAGAAACTTGTCTCTATTCATATCATAAGTTTCTGGATCATTATATTAATCAAAGGAAAAACAAATCTGACACCAACTAAACTCCAACAACTACGACTGTAAACCCTATGATCAGGCTTAGAGATGGCCAGCCCCGAAAGACCAACACGAATCGCTAACCATGCAGCGGGCTCGACACAACCATCCCTGTTCTTATAGATCCAAACATACCCAATGACATAAAAAAGGCTAATAAATTCCCAAACAAACTGACAAACCAAATAGCATAGACGGTAACAAGAAACCAAATGACAAAATAAAAAAACAAATAGGGAAACTTTCACGGACTCTAGCACCTCGTACAACCCATGGTGGTGGTTCAGGAGGAGGTCGTACCATCAGTACCACTCTAATTGATCCTCCATCTTCAAACGAAATCTGCCTTACTCGAAGCCCTTGCAACTCTCCTTGTAAGGTTGCCGGATTGCCCGCACCTCTACAATTCCAACTTAGAGTATTCATTGAACAAAAATAATGGATTCTCACTGCAGCTGATAGCCATTGATTGAACTGCCAAAGTTACTCGCAAAGCAAAACGCCGGACACGAGCAAGTCGGCCGGAAAAACCTCCTAGGCTAAACCTAGCCTAGACTCGTTGCAACGGCTATAGTCTAGATTTAACCCAATAGGCAAACCTGGACTATGGCTGCTACGTTCTGGCAACTAAACCTCCTGAGCACTTTCCTTATTCGTATTGCTTTCTTGATTTTCTGCTTGAGTGTCGAACGTAGCTTTCCTAAATGCCTACGAGCATCCTATTTTGGACCAACAAAGAGGGTATCTGTTTCAAAACTAGTTTTTATCAAACCCATACTAATACTATGGTATTCATTTTTTTTGTATCCTAAAACTAATTCCCGTCAAACAAAGAGAAAATTTCTTATATGTGACAAAAACATACACAAAGTGCACATGTAGGACTTTCATGATTTTTTTTTCTAAAATAAGACCTATTTGCTCGGGAAAGTTTTATGGTTTTAATACGATCAAGTTAGTCTTACTTTAGAAATAAAAGACATGTAAATTTTTGTGTACTTTTTCTAAGTTTTAGTCTTATTTAGAATATTTTTTTAGTCTAACTAGCTCCCCTACTTTTGCTAATTTTTTTGTACGGTAGTTTCAAAACTCTCCAACTTTTGTCATTTGGTGTCTGATTGAAGTAGCTCCACTTCAATAATTCACTTTGCTTAGATCCTTACTCCAGCTAAGAGTCTTTCAATGACTCTATTTCTATGCGGAGCCGCTGGTGGTATGGGCTAATCTCATCTTTGAGTAACCATATATATTCAACTAGCTAGCTAGTGAATTGGCCGGAAAGTACGACGTACGATGTATTGGTTCTTATTCTTCCTAGTAGCAGCAATGGGTGTTTCATCGTCACCAAATAACAATGGTGTTTTTGACATCTATGACCGCTACTCGAATGAAGTTGTCGATGTCTTAGGTAAGGGCGGGTTGCCTACGAAAGGAGGCGCGGATTACTTTTCATACTTGGCAGCCCGTGATTCCCGGAGACGCCAATCTTCTCCGGCCATCACCTTTTCATCTGGAGATGGCACCTTTCAGATAGAACTTTTATCACCGTAAGTTCATTATTACTACTATTTGAATTTTTCAGATATAACTTAATTACCCTTAAAACTTAATTACCCTTAAAACATAATTACCCTTACAACTTTGTTGATATTTGAATTTTTTTCATTACTCCTATTCTATAATTTCTTACACGTATATTTTTTGGTGACAACTCCGGTACCCATTTAAAAAATGGGGGTACCGTACCTACCATGCATTTGATTGGTCCAAATCATTATATACCTTTTAATTTAGATTTAAATAATTCAACTGCATCATTCTTATTGGGCCATTTGGACAAAGGTACGGTACATTTGGGGTACCATAGAATTAACCTATTTTTTTAGGAATTTATTTATAATATAAAAAAGATAATAAAAATACGTAGTATTACAGTATTTTTTAAGTACTTTCATAAAATGATACTCCGTAAAATATTAATCAAAATCACGACTTAAATTTTGTTCATTAATTTGAAAATTCAAAGGTGACAAAATTTTAAGTGACAGAGGAATCATTATACGTGTAGTCAATGGCGGAACCACTTAATTAGAGGCTTGGGTGCCGTCCGGCTACTTCTTCTTGAGGTGGTTTCCGGTGTTATTTTTTGTTTAAATTTTGTGAGCATGTTTTCCTTCAAATGTAAATTATGTCCACTAAATTTAAGCTAAAAATTCAATTGGGAAGGAAGTCAAATATTTTTTTGAAGATAACTGTGCTAAAATATACTTCACGGCTATTTTCAAAATTTTATTTGACTCTCTTCCCGATAGAATTTTTAGCTAAAATTTGATGGACATAATCTACACTTCATGAGGAACGTGTTCAAAACATTTCAGCAAAAACTACCACGGATAACACCTCGGTGGCTGGACGACACCCATCCAAGAATATTTGTGTGTGTACATCTTTATATTTATAGTTCAGTGAACAATATTGTACGATTGAAAATACTCGGGATGAATGCGTTGAGACCCATCCAAGATCAAGTACTAAACCAAAAGCATCTCCAAATAGGCAAATATGATCTGTTTTTAGGGAAAGTTCTCGAAATGGGACTAAAAAGTTCAAAAATTCCAAATAGGACTCTCATGTTTTTATTCCCAAAATAGGACTAATTACTGCCAAATTTGGAAAATACTGCCATGTTTGAAGTCTGGTACTGCCAAAACATGACAGTAATTAGTCCTATTTTGGGAATAAAAACATGGAAGTCTTATTTTGGAATTTTCAAACCTTTTTATTAGTCCCATTTTGGATAATATCTCCTGTTTTTACCATCCAATGGACGATATTAAATTACTAGCTCGTAATGTCTCATTATCTTTTTCTTATCTTTTAAAGTTTTGTCATGTTTACTACATATATTATGTTTTTCTCATGCCATGCATATTTGGTAATATAATATTTGTGTGCGTGGTCCAATTGATACTTTATTTGGCCATTTACATTCGTCCCTCACGTCTCTATTCAACGTGCTGAATCATAAGCGGGATGTAGGAGGGTTCCTAATCCATAGATCGGAATCCAATACAATTTCTCTATAATTTCGATCGTAACTATACATTACGAGTATTAAAATTTATTTTCAAAAAAAAAATAAAACTATTATTAAAATTTTGATACAATTATTGATAACTTCAGCCTGAATTTGATTTAAAATAAAATCAGTAGTCTACATGTGCACAGTGCACTCTCGCTTAACTTGTCCCAATTTAAAAAAAACATTTGAGTGTTAAATGAAATAAGAAACAAAAACATATGTAATTCAGGTTCGTACATACGAGAGGAAAATGACGTTAACCACAAATTTATCTCCTTAAAGAGAGAGACAAAGTCTTTCCATAATTACATTGTTTTAATTAAATGCAATAGTTTAAATGTAGTACTAGTTTTAATTAAATTTAGTACTACATATATTAAAAGAAAATGGATGTAAATTTAGTACTACATATATTAAAAGAAAATGGATGTAAAATTTAACTACCAAAATGGATGTACTATTAATGAGCACAAATAGTTTTCATTGGGTACTTATACTTTAAATAAGTTCGGATGTTTTATTTTGGACTGAAATTTGCTGGTCTGGTCTGGTCTGGTCTGGTAAACGTCTGGTCTCTGTGTATTTTATAACTATGGAAGTCAGGTCAGATCGGGTTTGTTTAAGTCTGGTCTGGTCTGGTCTGATCTGTTTAAGTCTGGTCTGGTCTGGTCTGGGACTGAAAACAGTCCAAAAGAAAACATTCTTATACTCCGTACTATTTATTTTAATATTACGACGTGATATTTATTTTAATGTATTGCTTGTTGGTTGAATATTAATTAATCTTGTCATTTCTAAAAAGCTAAACACATAAGCACCATTAATTATGTTAATAAAGAAAATGTTTACTGATACTCTGTATTAAATTTAAATTAATCTTACGTCGTTCCAGTATACATGTATATACACACACGCACACACATGAATTTTTGAAATATTTAGAGTCATTAGATCCTAAATAAGATGCTCCAAATTTATTCCTATTTTTCATGTGAAGGAATAAATTTGGAGCATCGGATTTAGGATATAATGACTCAAAATATGTCAAAAATGTATTAAAGTGGATGAAAAAACGTGGTGACATTTTTGTTCATAAATCAAAGTTTTTACTCATTGCAAAATGTGGACTTTCAAAATGCAATAGTGTACCGTAAAGGATCAAAAGTGAATGAGGAACAAAATTTCTCAATACAATAGTGTATGTCTTCACTGGCTTCACTTACTAGTAGTACATAGTTTTTACTTTTTAGTGATTAGCCCGCCCCACCTCTTATTTCATGACTTGCTCGTGACTTGAACAAGGGTGCAATTAATTAAGTTGTTCAAATAAGTGTAGCACCTAACTAAATGAGATTATTTTAATCAACTTTAAATTACAGTCTCTACTACGCAAAAGTTTATGTTGGAACGCCTCCTTTGCCATTCATCGTTGCACTAGACACAGGGAGTTCCTTGTTTTGGCTCCCATGCAATTGCAGTGTGTGTTTACGCAACATCACTTTTTATTGGAACCAGGTATATACGGATCATTTTCTATTGTTGGGTGTCATTTTTGAATGTTATAATTTATAAATTATTGAATAGATAGTTAGCTAGAAAGAGGCTCTATATTATTTATCTAGTTTATGTATTAAAATAGTTTGTACCAAGTATTATAAAAAATTTGTATTATTATTGATTTATTAGAGATAATTTTATTTTTGCTCTTCCTCATCCATAAGGGTACGTAATCTTTTGTTTATAATTATGACTAAAGTTGTTTTACTGCCTGTTGTCAATCACCTTTCATGATCTTCCGGCCCGGCCTACACCAGACAACAAATTGCAATATTTACCATTCGGATAAATCGTCCACATACAAGAGTATCGGTTGCCCACCTTCAAATAATGGATGCCCATTTGAGGCCCGATACAAGGATGGATCGTCCGCTACAGGGGTGCTCATATCAGATATAGTACACCTAACCACTTATGATCACCAGCATAAACACGTTCAGGCTCCTGTTACATTCGGGTATGCACCTAATTAATATACTACCTCCGTTCTCTTTTAGTTGCAACATTGGACTTTTTGCACTATTGACATGTTCTACTTTGACTACATTTTATTAATTGATGTATAATAAATTAAATTTTTAAAAAATATTGTTAAATTCTTCTTATTCTAAATTTTCAAAATATGATTTTTTTAATTTTTTTACTAATAAGGAATGAAAGATATTTATGGTCAAACTTGTGCGTTGGCAAACGTGAAATGTTGACTGTTGCAATTAAAAAGGAACGGAGGAAGTACATACATAATTTACATTTGTAAATGCATGCAAGCTGATCTGCTGATCAATAATATATGATTTTTGATTAATTGTACATATGTAGTCTTTACTTTAAATTTCTATGTTAACATTACAAATAATTTTGTATTACAATATTAAATGGTTAACATTATAATGATTTAATGAACATCATGTGTGGGAAGGTCGGGTGGAAAAGTAGTTTTGACTTTTTTTTACTATGTTTGTTCGATGTTAGGTGTGCATCCAATGTAACTGGTTACTTTCGGGACTATTCAGCTTTTAACGGATTGCTGGGGCTTGGGCTGGGTAATGGGCCTGACAATATGGATGCCCTCAGCATCCTTGCTGCTCAAGGGATTGTTGGCAATTCCTTCTCCCTCTGTTTCCAACCTAGTGGGAATGGGACATTGATACTCGGAGACAAAGGGACTTCCAATCAGAGGGAAACACCATTAGATCTAAGTATACAAAAGTACGTCCTCTACATATAATACTGACTATATATATATATACATAGATTGTTGTACGTAATCCTGAATTTCTAGCTCATAAATTAATCATAGTTTGCGGAGACTTAATAATGATGTTTAATTAATCTGGTTATGTGCAGTGAAGGGTACAATGTTTTGATTGAGCAGATTGTTTTAAACCAAGATATCACAAAAATTGTTGATATAAATGTCCTTTTTGATTCGGGTTCATCATACACAGTTTTAAGTGATCCAGCCTACACATTTATTACACAAAACGTGAGTTTTTTTCTTTAGAAATTGTCTATTTATATACACATTTACACACAGTACATAAATGTTGAAATATTTAAATGATGTATACGACCATATACTAATATGGTCGTATATTGCATTCATTCATATTAATACTTTAACTATTAAATGAAATGAATTTGTACACTAACTCTATGTCTCTATTTAAATACAACAGTTCAATAATCTGCGGCGTACGTTTAGAATTTTCAGTCAAACATATATGACACCACGGTCTAAATTACCTATCTGCGCCTTCCAAAAAATGTGCTACGTAGTGATTAGTTAGCTCACGTCTCAGTCTTATCAGCCTTGTTAATTAGATACTGATTAGTCCAATTACTTCACGAAAAATTACAAAAAGTATTTAATCTAGTCATGTAATATAATACTCAATTACTACGGAGTACATATCTAGTGAGATTCACATAATAAAGTTCAGGTCATCTAGTGAGATTGTTTTTTGAGAAAACAAACAATACAAAGTTCAGGTCATCTAGTGAGATTGTTTTCTGAGAAAACAAACAATACTACACTAGATATATACCTCCTATATACTTTTCTTGATCAATGATAATAAATTTTGGAAAATGATTTTAATTATTGTATTTGTATACATCATTTAAAATTTTTAAACGTTTATGAAAATATTTTGAATAAAAACATTTTGATATAATTTTCATATTCAAAATAATTTTTATGTTATAAAATATCATTGGTCAAATTTGTTTGTCATTGATCAAGAAAAGTGAATTAAGAGAACTTTTTTGGATGGAGAGAGTATAAAAATCAATATAAGTGCGATAATAAATACTCCCTCCGTCCCGTTAAGATTGTCCCATTTTACCTTTTCGGGAAGTTTCACTAAGATTGTCACACACCAAATTTGGTAAAGATTGTGTGGTTCTAAATCATTCTTACTTTATTCTTACTTTATCAATTTAATATCAACCACACAAACCCACTTTTCTTAATAATCGTGTCACTTTCTTTCGTCCCACTCATAGTGGGACGGAGGTAGTAGTATCTAGTTATAAGCTCATTGTCAATCTCTCATCCATCTAGTGAGATTATTTTGCCCAAAATTCAAATACTCCCTCCGTCCTAAATAAATTTCACACTTTTTCTTGGGTAGGTCCAAAATAAACTTCACATTTTTACTTTTGACAAATTTTTAATATCATGTTACCCGTATACCCTTACTTTATTACCCACTTTACACTCACTTTCTCTCTCCCACTACACTTTATCTATTTTTTGTAGGGATATGATGAGAAAATAAAAAACAAAAAAATTCACTTTCTTAATAAACGTAAAGTCAAAGTATGAAATTTATTTAGGACCGGAGGGAGTATAATAATACCAACTTCAAAGTATTTAATTTACTTAATTATATTGTCAATATGCTTATTAATTACCATTATGAAATATGCATATACTTCACACATTTACTAAGTTATATATACTACGTATGTTCTAACTATACTTTTGCAGTTCAACTCTCTAATAAAGGAACCACGCAGCCCGCCGCCAACATATCTGGGTTATTTTGAATATTGCTATGACTTGAGGTAGTTTTATAGTAGAGAAACATTTATATATGCAAGTTTAGTTTCTTGTGGTTCCATTTTAATTAAATTTGGTCTTTCATTAGTCATCAAAAAGCTTGTTTTTTAATTCAATATCATCAACTTTTTCAGCCCAAATAAAACTTCTTATTGGACTCCTCCGCTGAGCTTCATAATGAAAGGAGGACACAAATTTGATGTCTTTTTCCCAACAATCAAGTCACATCAGGTGCTTGCTTTGCTTTATTTTTTGGAATTTCCTAGAATTTGGTCTTATGTTAGAAATAATATATTGATCTCCAGTTCTTTATTTGTTTAATTACCTTTTCAGGGAGACAGATCTTTTTATTGTTTAGCTATCGTCAAGCAGGACAATATTAACATAATTGGACGTGAGCAATATTATTTCTCTTCCACTCATTCTAGCTTTTTACAATTAATATACTCTGTATTATCTATGATATGTCGATATATTAATAATAGACTACTTATAATAAATACTACTCCCTCAGTCCCTCCGTCCCGTTAGAAGGTTTCCACTTTCCTTTTTTTGGACGTCCTGTTAGAAGGTTTTCATTTCCATTTTAGAAAACAATTAACAATCTTAAGTGAGAAATTAGTCATTAAATTTTAAAAATAATACATTTATAACATCACAGTTATCAATACTAACACATTATAATATATACTTATTAAAACTATTTATCAAAATATACCCGAAGTATTTTATTTAATTATCACCTAAATAACCGTGTCGTTTTGCTATATATGGGAACCTAGCTTCCAGCGGGATAGAGGTAGTACGTACTATTGTAGATTCTTTGGTTACGTTTAGTACGTACGTTACCTCTTCTTTCTATCGAAATTAATTTACGCAATATTTACTTATGTTAATGCAACTGAGCATGTTCAATGATAGTATGTTCTAATTATTTGTGCAGAGAACTTCTTTACCGGCAACAATATAGTGTTTGATCGGGAAAGAGGTATATTAGGGTGGCAGCAATCCAAATGTAGGTTTACGAGTTTTTTTTTTCAAGCAATCTTCATGTACACATTAAGTAGTAACAATAGCAGTTTTTGATGAAACCAGTTCAACGATACTTCCTATTCTGAGGATGCACAAGATTCATCGCTGCCTATTGTAACAAGTGTTGTTATGGGTTTTTTAGTCTATTACTTTTTATGTAGTCAGAAATTACTATAAATAGAAGTAAAAAATTATTATTGTACATTAATTAAGATTCAGGATTTTATATAACTAAAAGAACATGATGTCCCCAAAATATGACTCCATTAGTTTTTCTTCTTATTTTAATGCTCGCATGAGTCATGACTACATGATAGTGCACGTGCCTTTGAATTTTTTTAAATTCCAATATGTCCTCTATTCAATAATATATAAGTAATTATTGTAAAAAAAAGAATCTATAAGTATTTATTTTGATTACCTGCATGCCTGCACGTATTAATTTACCTCCTACTAATAAGAAATTAATTCATTTGGGTTAACCGTCAAGTGCCGATTAATAAGGAATTATTTCCACTAGTTTAGTACATTAAAAATATTTTATATTTTGCTGATACTATTTTATAAAATAAATTAAAATGCTACTAAATGATAGATTAACTCTCAGGAAATAGTACTACATGTAGAATTTAGAATATGATAAAAAGAGCATATATAAACTGTATATTAAATACAAATCCAGAGCACCGTACCATTAAAAACAGGTACCCAAATCTAAAAATTCAAAAATAAAAACTACGTATATTAAAAGAATCGATCTAGACTCACTGGCTACTACAATTTAAGACCTAACGTAACATTGAAGATGTAGTATAGCTATAAAAGTGTTACATTTTTCTCTAATGTAACACTTTTTATGAGCTAATGTAACACTTTCCAGAAGTATAAATGTTACATTAGGAACTATAAAGTGTTACAATAGGTCAAATGCAACATGAGCAAATGTAATGGTAAAAAAGTAATACATTTTCTCTAAGTAACATTTTTCAGTGCTATTGTAATACTTTTGGGTGATACATTAGATGTTGAAATGTTGTAGTGACTTTATTTTTTTGTTGTTGCCAATATGGTTGTTCGCATCACTTCAATCGCAGTGATTCCATATCTTTATGGTTTCCATTAAAAAGAATTCTTTCAATTTTTAAATACAAACACATAGTCTCTACAATCTTATAAAGGTGAATGAAGGTAAGGGTTACTTAGGTATAAAAATTGTGTTGGTGGTACATTAATGCAATATGTAATTGTACCATTTGATTAAGATGTTGTACTTTCTAATTCATATTCTTGGTATTCCGTTAGTTCACCGTTAAGTCAAACATTTTCAGTTTCTCTAGTGTATACACTTCTCTGTGTTCTTTTAGGCCCATTAGAAAAAAGTCATCCAAGCGACCATACCCAACTAGAAACCTGTTGATGACTACCTACTCACCTGGTTCACGTATACAATATATCTTCTTCACTCATTCATTGACAATTTCCTAGGATATCATCTAATTGCGATATCATCTATTTGAAAAAAACAGACTGCAAGGTTTCTTACTTGCTAGATAAAGTAGTGAGTGTTTACATTTTAATTTTCTAAAAAAATGTATTCTTCCAATATATATTCTAACAAATTGCATGATATTGTATGTCCTGTGATGATATTTTCTATTGCTCTAATCAGTTCTCTATTTCTATAATTCTCTAAATGAAGCTTCCACGGAGAGGTGAAATAACTAAGCTTTGATTGAGAAGGCTCGAAAGAAAGGCTATAGTTTTAAATTTTAAAGTTTTCACATTTGATTTTAGTTGTTGATTTTGTTAGTTATACTACATATGTTTTTGTGCTTTCCTTGTAAGTAAAATAAATGCACATGAATGTCCTAATCCATTCTAAAAAGTAGGTTAATAAATAATGACATGATGATATATATTGTCCTACACTCCTACATGTTCCGTGTTCAGGATTCTTAAATTCATTCAGGTCTTAGGAAATAAGGAATTATATGGGCCTAACTTATATGACATTGGTAAAGGATTAAATGACCTTGTTTTGCTATCGAAATATTAGTGAATTCTATAATAACATTACAAACTACTTATGAAGCCTAACCAAAAGCATCACACAAGACATGCTTCTCTGAAAAGAACAAACTCATTTTAACAAATGTATAAGTAAACTGCATTTTTATGTTACACCATTTTCATTGGGCATTTTCACAATCGCGCAACGCGCGTGTAAAAACTAGTTTTATCTATAAATCCAAATATATGTAGCTAGGCGAATTTCTGGAATTTTTAGCTGCACGCCTGCACCCCCTGTGTCTGAAAAACCGGAGCTCAAACACTAGTCATATGGAATTCTCCCCTTTCCCAGAAAACCATGTGGTATTCTGCTACACGAAAGAGTCTTATTTTTATGTTCTTCTAAATATTTGAGTCTCTGGATTCAAAATCAACCAATTGACGGTGTGTTGAGATATATTATCTCTGTCCACTACTATTCAGGAGCCCAAGGCATCGCCCCAGCTCGGAGCCTGAATGACAAGGTCCATTTCAGCCTATTAGGCATGTTTTAGCCCTTTGGGCCCATTTTGGGTTTACTTGGCCCATTAGGGTAGACTTATTCCCTACCCCTTTTCCCTATAAATAGAAGGTTTTCCCTCCATGTTAGGAGTTGGTCTCTTTTTCCCCACTTCTCCTCCTCTCTAGAATAGATTAGCTAGCTTTATTCTCCGTTAATGGGAGCTTCAATACATGTACTTTGTAATGGTGAGGAGAGATTAATGAGAAAGAGAGAGCTTGTACATTAGCCTAAAAAGTCCTGTGGTTTTCTCCCCTTCGCATTTCCACGTAAAAAGAGCTTGTTCATACACATTTATACATACATTTACTATATCGTGTTGGATTAAACTCAACACGATGATTTTTGGAAACTTTGCACAAAAAAGAATCGGACTCTCCTATAGTTCCACTAGTGTTTACACCTAATGGTTTTGGATAGATCTAGGGATCTATAGCATTATCAAATTGCTTTGCGGATATCGAACTTTAACAATAGCCTAGACTTTGTCAATTACATATGACATTCAATGCATCTCACTACCAGAAAAGTTCCAATTTGGCACAAAATTTGGCACAACAGCTTTCAGTTTTTTGCCCTGCCTATCGGTATTGGCACGGCGTTGGCACAAACATCGAAGTGGTGCCACCTGAGGCCTGCCAAATCAAATGGCACGCGTATATATGCCGTGCCAAATGTTGGCACGACGTCTGGCACAGATGAGACACAGCCAAATAGGATGGACGGAATTCTAAAAAGTTTCTGTCAAAAGTTGGCACGGCGAGAATCGTGCCAACTCTCGCATATAAATTTGAATTTTGGCACGCCGTTTTTTAATCCAAAAAATTGAAAAGAGGTTTGAATTTTGGCACGGGGACGTTGTGACAACGTTATGTCCTTGTTTTGAAAAGTTTGAGTGTGGCACGCTGACGCCGTGCCAATGCTTTCCAGTTATAATGAATTTTTTGAATGTTGGCACGAAGGTAATGTGCCAAGCATGCCATCTTTGATATGTGGTTTTAAACATGGGCACGAAGAAGCCGTGCCAAATTGAAATTAATTATAAAAAAAATCACCCACATATAAACATTTATATACAGTATATCTGTACAGATATATGGGCCAATATTTTGTTGACACAATCTTCATACAAAAAAGGTAAGGCCACCAATCAAACACCATTCAAACAACAATCTTCATACAAAAATAATAGTAAACATCATTCAAACCAAACATAGTAAACAACCACAAAATCAACATTGAAATCATCAACATTGAACATTAGTATCCATCAAGATCTCCCCAATAAATCCATCAAAAATAAGTGTTTGGGAAGGAGGTACTAAATTTCAAACCATTGGGTGGGAGGGAGGTATTAACATTACAGACCATTAAGAGAGGGAAACACATCAGCGAAAAACTCATCAACATTCATTTCACCTGGCTGAGTCGGGGTTGGCTGAGTCGCAGCTGGCTGAGTCGAGGCTGGGTGAGTCGGTGCCTGCTGATTTGGGGCTAGCTGAGTCGTGTCTGGCTGAGTCTGGAAGGGAAACTCGGGTATCACAATGTTGGGGTTAGTAGTTTTTAACTGCTGTAAAATAGCAGAAAAGCATCCCGACATAGCAGCCATTTGAGCATCTTGTTCCTGCTGTTTTTTTTCTTGTTGAAGTATTTTATCATTTTGGGCCTGCAATTTCTGTTGAATTGCTTCAAGTTCTTCAGGAGTAGGACCGGAAGGGCCGATCACCGAGGATGATTCCAGCACTGTAGTTTTAGCCCGACTGCCATGCCCGAACCGGCGGCTCTTGTACTTTGGAGTGGCTTTCAAAAACATATCATTGTCTTCGACTGCAGATATTTGACTATCCGATTGACTGGCAGCTTGCTCCTTCAGATCATTGTACTTGGTCTAAAAAAATTAGAAACAGTTAATACATTACACAAAAAAAATTATGTTAATACATTAAATAACATTTTATAATTAGAAAACTGCTCACCAGGACTTCTTGAACACGAGGCGGCGGATCACCCGTCTTGGGGACATAGCACTTTTCATAAACTTCAATAGAGAGCGGATCTCGTTTCAACTCCACGGCCTTGAATGGAAGAAGATACTAATTAATTACATATTTTAATTTAAAAAAAGCCAATACAAGTATACAACTATGACTATTTTTACCAATTTTTCAGCATGTGCATCCACACAACTTCTACCACCTCTGTACTGAGACTGGATTGCAGCAGGTGTATTCCTATTTTTACTTCCAACAATACTTCTCTTCTTAAACTCATCACTGCCCCAATATATTGTCATTGTCAGCCAATAATTATCCGCTACCCATTCTGGCTTCAAGGCTGGCTTCACATCGCTTCCTCTATGCTTCGTTAACTTCTTACTCAACCAATGAGAGCCCCGGGACTCAAACAGCTCCCTCATCTTTATGTTGAGCCGAGGATCCCATCGGTATGAGTTCTAATACAATACACACAAATAAACATTAAAACAAAACCTATTAGATTTTATAGCAATCACCAAAACTTATTAATTCAATTAAATTCAATCAGTTACCGTAAACAAAAACCACCATCGATTTCGCTGCTCTTCTGAAGCATTTTGAAACGAAGTCCAAGGCCCGTGAAAATTTCCCATTATTATCTCCTTAATTCTGGTCAGCACAAATTGCTTGCTGCATGTTCATTTTTACATTATACACACGTATGTTTTCAA